ACTGTTGAAGCCGCTCTTCGCCTTTTTTTGTTGCAACGCGTATGCGACAAAAAGTGGTAGAAAACGAGTAATACGAAGGATATAATACAGTAATGCACTTGCCCGCTTCAAAAACTGGTGCAGAACGATTTTGCCAAACCGCACCAAACGCAGCCGCACTGCCACGCCCCACCGGTCCGCAATGATGAGGACTGTACTTCCGTACGGTAGACTTCTCATTATTGCCTGCCAACTATTCGCAATGATATAATACAACAAACACTACGATTTCATCGCAAATAGTAAAAGTGTTTGGTTGCAGACTCATCCTCGTCATCGTCGTCTTCTTCGGATGATTCGGATAACGCAAAGAAGTCAAAAGATGCGAAAGACAGTGTCAAACGTCGCCTCAAAGAAACAAAGGAACCCAAAGGGTAAAACTCATATTAGTTGAATTTATGGCCCGTCATGTGTATTGAGAATAATTCAGAGCCAGCAAGCAAATCAAGGAAGAACCGTTGTCGCCGAAAGATGACAGGAGGAATGGGCGCGAAGAGGAGCGTATGGATTTGGACAGTAGAAATGCTAGAAGAAAGGAGAACGACAAACGGAGGTCAAGGTCAACTTCCAGAAGGAGAAGGGATGACAAGTCACCGCCCAGAAAAGATGAGAAGCATCGAAGTGATCGCGCGTCTTCTACAGCAACAAAGGACACCGATAGATCGCGTAATGAGCGAACCGGTGAGGTGCGGCGGGGCAGAAGCCCTCGCTCATCGAGATATAAGGAGGATGACAAGAGAAATGAAAATACACCTCCCACAAGAGCCAGAGATGATGGAAAGTCGCGTAGAGAACGACGTAAGGGCTCTTCTTCGAGTCGTAGCCCTTCGAGGGAAAGGGAGAGAAAGAACAAGAGCAGTAGTAAGCGTAAGGACCGAGAACGGTCTCCTGAAGTTCGGTTACGTGAACTGCGAGTCGGCGATCGTGATCGAAGAGACCGCTCTTAATTGTTCTTGGTTGCACCTCTTATGTTGATATTTCTGTATCATCTCACCATTTCCGTTGTTCGTTAGTGAGACCCACCTCGGGTTTTGTTACTGTAACGTGATGTAATTATGGTGTAAGCGGTTGATTCTATATAAATAAGTTCGTATTTGACATCACACCACTGAATAAATAAATAAATCTGTATTTTACATTATCACCACTTCGAACATGAATCACGGCGAGAAAGATTTTTACATAATTTCTGTGGCAAAAATGTTGATAAACAGCAGCGATGGGTGATGACAAATTGTACACCCACCCGTAGATCCTGGTCCTTGTCATGTGTGAGGTGAATGAGTTGGCAGCTGCAGTAAAGTGCCACTTTCTACAAGTACACGGGAATTAGTGTGGAGGACACTGTAGGGCTCAAACGTAGCCAAGCGCGCCACCTGTCTGCTCCCTCACACTCTTTTCTGGCTTTGCGGAACTGTGGCGTCAATGTAAGCGTTGCACATTGTATATAGTAGAGCGCAGTATTGTAAATAGTTATAACTACAGTTACAAAGATGAATCAAAAAAAGAATAAAGCTGTTCTCAATGACCTGTATTTATAGGGATTCCTAAAGGGATTTGTCGCGCATCTCACTTCTATTCGAAATCCTAGTGGCATTTTAATTGACCTTGTTGTTGCGGCTCAGGCACTGTTGCACTAGTAGCTCTACATATATCATACTGATCGGTTCTTCACAAGCCCCGTGGCTCATCAACAGTCGCCTCTGTCTCACAGTCTTTCCTGGGGACTATACCA